ATGTGTCCCACCGCTCTTCCGACCTCCCTCACCGCCCACCCCCCCAGCAATGTGCACGGTCGGGCACCCACGTGCCATGCAGCCACCGTGACGCAAAAAAAAAAGTCGAAAATAAAAAAAAAGATTTCCATACTTGTCACTAAGTATTTAAATTGCCATCGATATTCTTGTGGTATGTTTTTTGTTGTTTTTTTTTTAAATATCGCTGTACAGTATTGTTATTTTTAAAAATACTCTACTGTATATGGTTTGACCACCAGCGTGTGAGTTTCTATCGTTATTTTAAGTCATTTTCACGTGTTATCGCTGCTGATAACGCCACTGGCTTGCACAGATGTGGTGCCGCAAATTAGACGGTAATGGCCAGCTGTTTATGGCAGCAACAACAACAACAAAAACTACTGGGAATTGTTGGAGCCACACAGTCCAATTACACCGCGAGGCACCAGCTATCGGGGAGAAACTACCAAGGTGATTCTGTGTGTGATTTTACTCGCATTTGGGCAATGGTCCTTAGCGTCCGGTGGTCATAGGACAACATTGGTTTCAACCAATTCACTAAAATAACACAAACATCGTTGGGCAAGGTCTATGGGGAACTTTTTAAACAACGCGATAGGCGCCTAAGAATACCTCGCTCTAAACATATCACCCTTAGCGTGTAAAAATAAAACTTTTTTTTTGTTGGTAACCCCTATGTTTAACATTGCTTCTCCGTTACACAATGCAGCTTCACTTACAATAGAAGACCCGCAGAAGTGGTTGAAGTTTCTCTTTTGCAAGTTGTGTTTCCCTCCCCATCCCCTTGGATTCGGTAAAGGCTGTGCATTGCAAAACCTACGTGCTTTTTTTTGGTTATCGGTGCAAGCACGTATATGGTGCTGTGCGTGTCTCTGCTTATAAATTGAACACGCTGCAACTCTGCAAAATTCAAGAGGTGTCTGCGCCAATTACGATCCTCCTCCTGGGCGCGCGCGCCCCCCCCCCCCCGCCACCTCTCAACTCTCGCATGGATTTTTTTTATGGAAAAGTCCGACTGCGTGCAGTGTTTACTATAAAAATATCTGTCTGAAAACTGATGAATCGTATGCACGCCGCCCCCGTCGCCCCCGCAGCCCCTGCGTGTCTCTTCGGGCAGTTGTTAGCGTACGCCGCGGGGTAGATGGATATAGCTTGGACAGCGAAGCCCTCTCTCCAGCCAAGGGGTCATTGTTCTTCGGTTGAAGTCCACATTACCCCGCCTCCCTGCACCCCCCCCCCACTCCTGGCCCGGCCTATTCGCCTGCTACAACCAACCAACTGTGAGCCCCCCCCACCACCACTCTCACAACACCCCAGTAAAGCGAGTCTTGGAGAGCGTGGTTTTCATTAGATTGCGACATTCATGCTCCCTTTGTCTTTAATTTGCCCGCATATGTTGAACATTTGGTGACATCACTTTGTCTTGGCTACCCTAACATTCTTCAGCACTGTAGTATTGCAATATTTATGCAACGCAACTTGATTTATGAAAGCATCTTAATTTCACCGAAACAAGGTACTGTGAAAATAAGAGAAACGTATCTATGCAGAGAGTTCTATCATAGTTTTTTTTTAATATATGTGAAAGCACAAGACAGAGGAATAATTAAGACGACATTATGGTCGAAGTGTATTCATAAGTTGCTTCAAACACACTCATGACAATACCGCTGGAAACCAGCACTCCATGCAGTTCTTGTAGTGATCGGATAGAAGTGTGTAATGAAAAGATTCACAGAGAGACGGGCGTATCTACTGCATGTCCGTAAGCACAGATTCGTATGCATTGTATCGTTCAGATGTGCACAGTCTGGTTAGGTGGTGCGGGGGTAAAAGCCTGCAGGTGAATATGGGAATGCTGTCAGCTCAGCACTTCAGCACTACCAGGGTTGGTAATAAAACAAAGAGTGACACTTTTGTGCCATATATAAACTCACCCCCGCCATAGACGTGTGAGAATCCCAGCAATATCTCAGTAGGGTGGTCCTCGATTTACGAAATGAATTGGTTCCTGAGGCCCATTCGTAAGTCTAACGGGTCGTAAATCTGAACACAGTAATCTACTGTATATATTTAAATGTGCACACGCACAGTCGCACATGCACTCACTCCCAGCACGAGGCTGAGTCATTACAAAATAGTGTGGCGGTTCAATTTGCAAGTGAGAGGTTCGCGTTTCAAGTCGATGTTAAAAAAGAAAACTTTCATGCAAGCTGGTCCGTAAATGCTCGTTACTCGGGTGTTCGTAAGTCGAGGACTGGCTAAACTTGCAAAATGGGATATTAAGCACTGCCCTATGCCGGTTAGAATGGGGTACCACTTTGAGCTGTTTGACAAGTGAATAACTGCACGCCGATTATGTGTCAATGTGCGTGTATCCGGAATTACCAAAGTATGTACGCCCTGAAGGAAACTACGTGAGCACTGATGCCCCTTGCACAGTAACCCTGGCCCCTGGCTTAGCCAAACGTGGCACAAAGCATTTATGGCTTCACCCATGTAATAAAGCCCCCCCCCCCCAGCCTCCTCCTTATCCGTCTCTGTTTATAATCTGCGTACTCACGCAAAGCTTACATGCTACACTACACTCAAGTGCTGTCCTTACAACAAGCTAGAGCGGCATTGAACGAATGGGGTCCCAAATATTGCGTTGATTGCACACTGCGCTCACAACTTTCGATCGGCTTTAATTTAAATAAAAGACCCTGCCGCCTCGTTTTTTTAGCCAGCGTTCATCACACGCACGCCGTCTCCTCGCCCTTTAATTACAAGCTAGAATTCCGCAGATTCCTTGCCAGCAGTCAGATTTCACGCTGCCGCGTCTCGGTTGTTTTGTGGTGCGGCGCGCTAGCGTGCGTGCACTATTTATAACGACCGTTACAGCCCAGACGATGCTGTCAAAACATTTAGCCGCCCAAAAAAGTTTTGACAAAATGTGGCTTTAGGCAGCTTTAAATAAGCAAGTTTTATTTTTACATCGGAGGTTTATTTATTGTTGCGAAGCCACAGGTGCGAATGTTCCAACCGGTGGGGACAGATCTGGCCCTCAGTTATGTCTGTCCCATTGCCAATGCTCATCCATAATTACTGGGCTGGACTCACAGTGAGGACGCCTCGTCTGAGCTCAGAGGGCTGTTAAACAGGAACGCGGTTGCAGCGATTACAAATCCCACCGTCACCTTCTCAATTACAGGGCGAATAGTGAATTTAACTCAAGCTTTTGCAAATTTTGATTTAATACATCCCTCACTTGTCACGCTTGCTCGGTTGCACGTTTTGAAAAAAATTGCATTTGTAATTTGTATGGAAACCAGAGTTCGTACAAGTCACAATGAGACGCAATACTGTATGCAGTGAAACAGGCGGCACTGTTAAACAAATAATGTTCACAACTGTGTATGTTTTCACAGTTGTGCTGTAAAGCAGCAGTATAGCGGTCAGCGCTCTGCTCTACGAACCCGGCCACCCGAGTTCGATTCCGGCTCACGGCCAACACCAGTGACGATTATATTATCAGAACCGGTCCTGGGCCTCCCCTAGGTCGACTCAGCCTAAAATGAGTACTTGGTGCGGTGTGTAAACATCGCCACTGGGGAGACAAAGGCGGCCGGGCGTGGTGTTGGCAACCCAAGTGAGATCACTGAAACTTTGTGTCAAATACTTTTGTTGTACGTCCGCCGCACCTCCGATTATCACGGTTGGCTACGTACGGCGTGAAAGAAGTTCAACATACAGTACACGAATACTCAGACTATTCTCAAAACCCTTTAACAGCCCATTGTAGTTTTAGCGGCATCAGCAACAGTAAAGGCTAATGAGGTGAACGAAAAACTTGGCTTTTTAAAAAAACAAGCAGACAGATGAATTAATTTTTTTAAACATGAAAGTGAAAGGTAAACATGTACGTCTTACCAATTGTGGGCTAAGTCACTCTACACACGAGGAGTCTAATACACAGTGCTGGAGTTCACACTGCGTGGGGAAAATGCTCCTTCATGCACGACTCTTCATGAGCTTGGAACGATGAGTTAAAAGCAAACGATTTTGATCATTGCCCGCTGGCCCCTATGGACACTATGTCGTTAATATTTACTGATCTCTGTTTATGTTTTCTACCGCTGTAAATGAAAACGATGTCCAATGTAAGAGTTTATATGATGCGCTATTTGACGTTGATATATTGTGTTGAATTGTGTTGCACATTGATATTTTGTGTTTTTAATTTCCTGGCTTTCTTTCTTCATCTATGTTCCTGCTTTGATCTTTGGTTTTGTAGCTCAGGTCTCTCTCGAATGGCCTCTCGCCCGATTTTAAATGAAACGTGATTTTCTGTCGTGATTAATCAAAATGCAATAAAGTTCCGTGTGCAACGATGCACGTTAAGGAAGAATGTCTTTGCAAAAAACAGATTGCTATCATTGGCTGATAAACTGTTATATATAAACCACAGACTCTGGGCTGAGATGACAACAATTAGATCTACACGCGCGGCGGCTTTTCAAAGCGCATTTATTCGCTCCGTTAAAACAAAGCATTGACGAGCGCGCGATTAAATAGCGTGACAAGCCCGAGACTCACATCAAATGTAACACGCGTGAATTGACACCTGCGAACAGGGCTCATTACCGCGCGAAATCTGTCAACGTGAGCACCATTCACGAACAACCATTTCAACAACAACAAAAACCCCAACGAGGAGGTCACAACTCCGCAGTGATGAAGGTCGCATGGTTCTGGGGCAGTTGGGGGAGAATAGAGGACGTCACCGGCCGTACTCCCTGCGTCTCGAACAGCCAGCCGCCTGCCCCGTGTCTGTCAGCTGTCCACGTGAAAGGGCCGTGATAGGTAGCAGGAGGACGCTAACATGTAAACAACAAAGTTTGCACACAACGCTGTAACGCAACCCCCACCCCGCTCCCCGTACCCCCCTACCACCACCACCATCCCCGACTTCTCTGCGCCCGTCTTCCCGTGTGCAGGCCGAGGAAGCTCCAGCATTTCGTCGGACTTTAGTTCCAGCACAGACTTCACGCCCACCCGCAAGAGCAGAGGTAGGGGTGCTTGAGGGGCGGGGGTACACGTGGAGGGATGTGGGGGGTAGAGATGTGGGGGGTAGAGATGTGGGGGGCGGGGGGGACAGGCAGGGGAGGATGTGTTATGAGGATGTTGCTCAAAGCAGCAAGAATAGAGAAAATGCATGGTCTTTTTTTTTGTTTGATTGCGTCTTGTTTGAGCGTGGGGGGCGGGGGGACAGCCGGAGGAGGATGCGTTATGGGGATGTTGCTCAAAGCAGCAAGAATAGAGAAAATGCATGGTCTTTTTTTGGTTTGATTGCGTCTTGTTTGAGCGTGGGGGGCGGGGGGACAGGCGGAGGAGGATGCGTTATGGAGATGTTGCTCAAAGCAGCGAGAATAGAGAAGATGCATGGTTTATTTTTTTGATTTTATGGCGTCTTGTTTGAGCGTACATTTTCAAGACGCATCCATTTGCTACTCTTGCATAGCAGTGCAACGTCCCGCGCTAGAGAATTGGCCGGCAGAAGTCGACATCACGGAAATTATTATCGGGTTCCTTTAAATTGACCGCCCTGCGACGAAGCAATGTAATGTTCGTGACAAGTCGTGACAGTCAAGCTGAGATTTTTCATTCTCAACGCTGAAACTTTGCCAAATTAAATTCAGAAGCAAACTTAAGATGACGGGTTTCTTTTTCTCTCCCATGACACCATTTGTGACAGGGAGCTAAGACCGTCAACTCACTGCACTTTAATCGCAGCCACCTGCCTGGATTCGAACCCAGAATCTCAGCGGTGCCAATTCTAACCTCTGAGCCACCCCATCGTCTGTATTCTACTACAAGTTTTAATGTAATAACACCGTATATATTTCCTGTATTCTAGCCACCTCACACTATATGATTGTATGCAATGTCGTGAAGTTGAGGTCGGTGTGATACAGCGAGGGAAATAATTTCCTTTAACATATGCCATCCTCTTCAAGTTCGGGAAAGACCACCATCATGTGCTAGAGATTGATGTGATGTTTCAGAAGAACACATCACTTTGTTTTGCCTCGGAAGGTACACCTGAGTTTTCACTCAGAGCCACATATTTGTGTCATCCGTGTACTGGACATCTCATTAAGCTGTGCAAGCTCTGTCCATTAACACTTCAGTGCTGGAAGCATCGCAGTCGTCATCGGCCGTGATGGATCTACTGCTGGATGAAGGCCTCGCTAAACTGTTGCCACCTGGGGAGGCATTGAATGCTGTTAGCATGAGGGTAGTTTTTTTGTTAAACCTAATAGTGTGATAAAACCATTATAAGAGACGTTGTATTGCCACAAGTGCGTTTCAGATGCACGAAATGAAAAAAATATCCGTAAAAAATAGTAGACCCAGTTGAAACCCGGCTTTGAAAAACAAAAAGAACTACCAAGTGAATCCTCAAACCTTCCACCTCCCATGAGCCTCCACACAGCAGAACTTAGGCCCTCAAGGAGGAGGGAAGGCAGCTGGCACGGAAAAGGAAAATGCGCACATTCGATTTTTTTCACATTCAGATTGTGACAGTCCAAGTGCGCAGAGTTTGGTCCGTTCCCCTGTTTAACGTTACTGTTTGCAGAAGTCAGCGAACAAAAAATGTTTCAGAAATTTATGATATTTTTGGGTTACAAGTACACGATCCTGATGTTTCTTATAGCTCACTGTGGAATTAAAGCAAACGGTGTAATGCACTTCACTGACTGCGTTCATTTTATTTTGCTGCTTTCACAGAAATATGCATAAATCGGGGCGGGGGGGGGGTTGGATGGGGGTTGGGGGGGGGGAATACCTGGAATTGAATGTTGGAGTGAAGAGTTTAATTCTCATGTCTGCTGTTATACAGTCCCCGTTTTACAACCGCATCTAATATTCTCGCCCAAAAAAAACAAAGCGAGTGCACCCGACATTGCCATCAACAAGTTTCCGCTCGCGCAACAAGGGAAGTGAAGGTGCAAAGGGACGCATCAACTCCGGGTTTTCGAAAGTAATTAGTGGGCGCTGAATCAACCTTTGGCGATGGAAGGAATTGATCACAATTCAAATTCATAATAAATTACATGTATTTTTTATGCTGAATGGTAGCACCGCTACTAACTGCAGGAGTGATTTTAGCTTATTATATACAACATATACGTACACAATTAGTTGCTAAAAGTTGTAACGATATGTAAAGCACGAGCTTGAGAATAAAAATTATGCACCGAAAATGAATCCGATGAAACGATGCACTGTTCCACCCATAGTGGTTAGGGAGAGATACGGAACGGATGGGACATTGGGTGGAAGGAGGGAGGCCTAGGTTCGAGTTGGTGAGGACACTGGGAGGAGCGATGGGAGAGGGGGTAGGGTGACTTTTAGGAAAGTCAATAGAATGACCAGCAGCAGCCCGGTCCTGTTTAGTAAAAAACACTCTCGTGGCCCAGTGGGGCCACGATCACCTTTGACCCCTGAGAGAGTTTATGGAGTCAGAGGAGACCCGGGTCTCCTTGAGTAACTGTGGGTGAATGTGGTCGGGTGTTTCTTTGTATTCGAACTCGCGCCGAGTGAGAGTTGTTTGTGTTTGCTGTGTGCGGGGGTTCGTCGAGAGTGGAATAAAGGTTAAAACTCAATCTGCTCTTCGTTTAGGAGGGATATATTCGCGCGCATATCATTCAACGCGCGTGTACATTACTGCTTAATGTGGAAAGAGTTGTGGTCAAGAGGTTTGAAATTTAAATAATGTTATACTCCCCTTGGTCAATACACTCTTAAATGAAGGCCTCTTGCACTTCGTGTCGGTCGTGGTGGTTTGTTTGACCATATTTCACCACGCTTGTCAATGCGGATTGGTGAAGAGGGAGCCCAGGAAAAGTTGAGATGTCACTCTTCACTGATGTGGGCCCTGACTCAGGTACTGACTTCATTGTGAAGTACCCGATCTACTGCGCCACCACTCCACCCCTGTTATCTTAACAAAAAACAATGGTCGTGGACACACACGGAGGGTTTATATTTATTATTACATCATAGATCTTGACTTAAAGCTTTCGTGACTGCAGGAATTCATATTCTGTGGCTCTTTCGGTAAAGCCACGTAGATAGAACAAATCCTTGTGATATTGTTATTATTTTTATTATTTGTTCTATCTTACGTGGCTTTACCGAAAGAACCAAATAATAGACATCATATATAGCAATAACAATGAAACAGGTTTCTGATTAAATGTAGCAAATGGGGTTGACTTAGCGTTTTGAAACTTTCCCTCTAACATATACAGTTCATTGTATTGACGGGTAATAAAATAAGATGTACAGACACTATTATGAATGCAAATATTTATAATTATATATTACGATTGGATTTTAAGATGCTTACTCTAAATGATAGATTCAGGGATATTAAGATTATGTCTCCTCAAGGCTGCGTAGGTATTGGAAGTTGTGCTGTGTAGCTCTCCTATGTATTTTCAGGTTGTACCGCACGTTCATCGACATGATGTACTTGCTGGGAGCTTCAGTTCTGACGAAGCTCCAAGCACGTGCAGCGAAACGTCGGACATCATTTCCGGCAACGTGCGGTACAACCTGAAGACACATTGGAGAACTCAGTCTCCTTATTTGTGTTGTGGTGCCATGAACATACATTTGGCATTTAAATACACACAGATCGTCGCATCCCCCAGCCTCGTGAGTTAACTAACTAACTATCTAAACGACCTGGCCACAAATGATAGCTCAAGGAAGTGGAAAGGTATAGGAGCCAAATACTCTTGATGCATTCTTCTAAAGGTGGAGGGGAAAATCGGAGAACCTAGAAAACAATCCACGCGACCATGGGGAGAACATGCAAACTCCAAATATACAGACGTCAGGTTAGGATCGAACCCACGACCTCTTGTATACCAGGCGAGGTAGTTAACATCTCGCCACCGTGGCGCCCCCAGCCATTATAGTCAGTGGCCGTAGCTCAGCTGATTCTCTTGGGACACTGTCGGTGATAGATGGGGAATGCCTGGGCACTGGGAGGCTGTGCTTGTGAATGAACGCTTGTAAAGTGGCGTGGCCTCTCTGCTGGGCATTGCGTGTTTGCGGATGCCCCTGGAGCCATGTGGGCAGCAGAGGGGAAACCTTCCCCAACAGTGCCCCTAATGTGAAACACGCCGATGTGATAATGACAGCAATGATAATCATTACGCCTGGACATATCTCTGCCAATGATCAAGAGGCTCATTGCAGTGGTTTAACGGTAATAAATGTTGACCTTTGAGTTGTGCGGTGCATGCAGTGATTGCAGAGCTAAATTATAGCTCCTGTAATTGATTTCTCATGGGTTAGGGAAAGTGTGTTGCAGGTATGACTTTGAACTGCGATGGTGTCGCCTAAAAATACTGTTGAGGACGGCAAAAGGACACCGACCACCTCAAGTGTTCTTGCCTCGTTGTGGCCTCAAGAGCTGTTTTTTTTTAATGTGTGAAGAGGGCGATGGTTCGCATTCGATGGAGGGAGCTTGAGGGGCGTGACCCTGCCCTTTGGCAGAGAACTCAGGAATCATGGAACCTGGTATGAATGCGGTTATGGATTCAGTACAGTATGCAGATAATTCGGAGGCTTGAGGCCACCCATGTTCATTGGAGTACACGCTATTTGGAATTTTTACAAGCAAAAAAAAAGAATTTCCTTCAACTTGTTTTAGTTTCGTTTGAGCAAAAGAAGCGGCCGCTTGGCAGATTTCACTTCTGGTAAATGTTTACAGTAATGCACATTACCGTTTCCTCCGTCACTACTGAGGCAAATGAAAATGCTGGGAAATTGGAAGAATTACTTGCAATTTTTTCCAGTCAAATGTTGGAACGGTGAGACCAGGGCAAGGTCGGTCCCCCCCCCACACCCCAATGTTAAAAGTCCACAATTCTCCAAAGAAAACATAGCTTCCAAAAGGATAGCACATTCATTTGATATTGATCCAAACGGCACATTTCCACTGAGATTAAAGTTTAAACCGTACCGGGAACAAATCTGAGTGGCTTGA